GAGAGAGAGAGAGAGAGAGAGAGAGAGAGAGAGAGAGAGAGAGATTTTCACTTTTATTCCTTTGAATATATCCTTACCATTATTGACCTCGTTTATTGCCTCAAACTAGCTCTTTGGTTGCACACAATTATGTAATTAACTACTCATTTAACAATAACTGGGTTGTTGACCCTTTTAGATCGAATAACCTTCATTAGTAAGTGTGATAAATTAACCATTGTAACTAAATTAAAGCAGATCCCTAAAAAATGAAAGATTAAAACCAAAGTAGTCACATTGACAGTCTGTCTGATTCTCATTCTCATCCAAATAAATTCCAGTTCTATCTTTAGTAGGTTTGTTTGTTTTTTTTTTTTCTTTTAATAATTTAAAAAGTATATTTTAATGAAACATAAACGAATTCACAAAGTAGCACACATAATAAATGAATTAGAGTTTAATGAAATGACAAGTTATCCTATCACTTTTGCTAGCTTTCGCATTATTGGTGGTGTTAGGAGGTGTTGGTCCAAGGGATTGACTGCTGAAAACTTGTTCACTAGCTGGAGACTGAGATTCACGCTTTGGGATTTCTTGTTTTAGGTCAGTATTCTTATGTTTTCTAGAATTGTGACCCAATTCGCCACAAGCCCTACATTTGACAGACTTTTAGTGCCTTTTCAATATATGAGGGTCACTGGGTAATGCAGTTGGTACCTCATTTGTGTTTCTTCTCCTCATTTTCTTAGGCCTCATTATCCTTTTTTGTACTGTAGGAGGTATAGGTGGTGGCGATCAACTTCAGGCCATAGCTCAGGGTTATTTATACCAAATATTGAATGTTGTTATGCTATTTTATATGTTGCAGCAATGTAAAACTGATTAATATACCATTGAAGTTCCTCTTTTTTATATCAAATGGCATAAATGTCATGCTTACATGGAATTCCAATCATGTCTCATTTTATGTAGGAACATGATCTTCCAAGAACATCGACAATATGATGTTCAAAAGGCCCTATATGATTTGAAAGTTCCATTCACCAAATTTCATAGGGATGAGTTTTTCTTGCATTCTTCACTTTTCCATCCAAAATCATACTTGTTATAGGACAAATCACATTCTCCTATTTATTGGTTTGTTCCCTGTTGTTATGCATCCTTGCCATCATGATGTTTCTCATTATTTATAGCATTAATATGATACTTTTTTCTGAATTAATGAATTAAGTCTCTTACACATTTTATTGGTCGAGATGTCACTCTTAAGTGTTGGACCGAAATGAGACCTTGACCAGATTTGGAGGCTTGTTCACTAGTCCATCATATGCCTTGGAATCAAGAGACTTTATTTTTTTCATTCTCACTTTGAACTCTTTTACCCTGATAGCTCTTGCAACATCCCACTGTGCATTTTTTATTTCCACACCTAAGAACACATCATTTTTCATGCTTTTATGAAACTATTGAACAAAAATATATATATTTTTTGCCTATGAATGCTAGCTTTCAAAGGCTTATATTAATCTATTCTATTTATCACTCGTGAAAGTCCACAGAGATTGTCTATTCATGTCAATATCATCCCATAATAGAGACAAAAAAAACAAAGCCAAGAATTTTTGTTTTTAAGCTTCTACAATTGCCCATGCTATTACGAACATGTTGTTGTTAGGATCAATTCCACATGATGTTAAAAGTTGACTCCCACAACACCCCTTCAAAAAACTACTACCATGTTGCATTGGAGCAACATATACTTTCCAATGACAATTCACAATTCTGTACACTACCCTCAGCCTTTTGCTATCATTCCTATCAAAGTAAATGAACATTCCGCAAATCTCAATGGCAGACTTTTTGCCTCTACTTTGGAACTGTAACTCAATCCTAATTTCAGTACTGACTTCCTATTCTTAGTAATAGGGTTGTATTTGGGATATATTGACATAGACAAATAATCTTCTCAGAACCAGTCAAACTCTCAAGCACATCACTACTATTTGTTGCCTCTAATATGTCCTCCTCTAACCTAAAACTAACATTAGTTCCTATTATGTTCTTTTGAGGGTCAGAACTCTTCCCTNAAAAAAAAAAAAAAAAAAATGCACCATCATGATCGACAAATTTCCCCTACACTACAATGTCAAAATAGCTATGATATAGCCATAATTGGGCTAATCGAGTACCAAGTATGGGCAAGTCGACCAGATGGATAGTCGACCCACTCTCACTAAGACGACTTGAAAGTCGTCTGTAGGAGTACGGGGACGACCAAGAGTCCCTCGGACAACCAGGAATCTTTTGGACGACCTAAGAAACACACATACGAAATCTTCCCACTGGATACAAGATAGCTCGACCGCAATACAATTTGGACAGATGACTTGAGGAGAGTCAGTGGCGACTCGATAATCATCACCACAAGAACATGGGATACGAAGGAGTCTTAGGGAGATAAGAAGAAATCTAATGATGTCTATAATATGATTAGGATCTGGATAAGAATTAAGCAGATCAGATCAACCTCGGTAGTCGGGTAGGTTGACCGCGGGCAGTCGGGCAAGCTATTTCGGGAAGGTATCTCTCTATAAAGAAGGTTTATGTACCTCCAAAAACACTATACATTCTCCATACATTACATGCAATTCTTTGTTTACAAAGCATATATCATCTTCTGCCTCTATACTAACTTAGGTATCAGAGCGCTAATAACGAGAGGCCCTCCCGACCCTTTTACAGGGCATTATGTTGCAGCTTAGGTAGATCGAAAGTTAGATCTAGCCGATTCAACCTTGACTCGAGTCTCCTGCTATTATTCAATTCTGCTATTATTTATGGAATATATTTTCTTTCCAGTAGATTATGTATCAATTACTAATCATCTATAAATCGATAGTAAATATGTATACCAAACGTAATGGTTATTACATTTTACTAGTCGGACACAACATATCTAAAATGACCTTTTAGTGATCTTAAAAAATGCTAGGAAATGACAAAAGATTATTAAAAAAATGCTATTTCCACCTTTATTATCTTTGTTACTATTAATTTGTCATAATTTTATTCCATTATCTAACAAATTTTTAACAAAATTTCCAATAGTTAATATATGTTCTATTCTCATATATGATATAACTCATATAACAAGTCCAAAAATATTATTAGTGAATTGATTGCACAGAGATTCAATAATACCAGTACTCATAGTGGAGTCTGAACCATTAATTTAATTATACATGCGCATAAACACATTGATCTAGAGTATATTTTCTGATTTCTTACGACTATACATACTTTTATTAAAAAATATCATACTTTTTAAAATAAATAAATAATAATATGACATTTGATAATATCGAAAAGAAATTGAAAAAACGAGACAAAACAATTTGGGAAATAATTGAGTTGGAGTGGACCAAAAGCGGTCCCACATAAAAATTTAAAAAGGTTCCAATTTGTTGTTGAAAAACGAAGCCGCGCCCGTAAAGTAGAAGATATTTTTTATTTTTATTTTTTTTTTATTTTTTTTGTCAGTCTAATCTAACAAATTTAATTATTGTAATTATAATCATTATCTTTCTTTGGGAGGGATGAGTGGTGCTGAAAAGACATGCAATTTTGTCTCTATTATATCAAGTTGCATAAATTAAGATGCTCGTTACCGAATTGTCACAGTTGGATCAACTTGTAATTATTGGTAACAATATTATATATGATACATAGGATTTTCCATTTATGCCTTTTGTTATGTAAAAACAGATTATAAGTTGTCTTTTGTAATTAGCACTTTTAGTTGTAATAGGTTTAGTATAAATAGGGTGCAGGCTTCTCATTGTAACCCTAATTCATTCACTTTTCTCTCTCAACTCACGCAGCTATGATAATCTTTCCTTTTTGCTTTTCTCTCTGATTGTTCATCAATCTGTGTTCATAAATCTGTGTTCATGTTAATATGGTATCATTCGCCAGAGATTTCTGACGCTTCCGCACTCTAAATCTGTTGTTTCTGTTCTCGTCTTGATCGATTTCCCCATTTTTTTTCGCAATCGCGATCTGTTTTTGTTCTTATGATCGATTCTATATTCGTCACTCTCTGAAATGGCGCTCAATCCGTCTGATGATGCATCCTCGCCGTATTACCTACATCCGAGCGACAATCCCGGCGCTCTAATCGTGGCCGAGACCTTCAACGGCGACAACTACGTCTCTTGGAGTCGCGATGTGGTCATGGCGCTGTCTGTCAAGAACAAGCTAGGGTTCATCGATGGATCCATCACGATTCCATCCTCTACTGGTAATCCTGTGAAGATTAGTTAATTCCCAAGTGTGGGTTTGTTCAAGGGCAGTCAGTTCTTTATGCATAGCCTCTTGCCATAGAGGGTTCTTTACAACTTGTGCATATGTCTTAGGTTCTATATGTTGATGTATGGATGCAGTAAAACAATGATGAGATGCAGAAAGTTGAGATCTGTATTGGGTGTAAATGGGTGTTCAAGGTCAAATACAAATCTGATGGCACAGTGGAGAGGTACAAAGCCAGGCTTGTAGCCAAAGGCTATACCCAAGAAGAAGGTATTGACTATTTTGATACCTTCTCCCCTGTGGCCAAAATAACTACAGTCAGATTCTTAATCTCATTAGCATCCATTAAAAAGTGGCACATCCATCAATTAGATGTTAATAATGCATTTTTGCATGGAGATTTGCATGAAGAGGTATATATGACTCCACCCCCTGGTTATTGCTCTGATTCTGACACAAGAGTGTGTAAATTAACCAAAAGTCTCTATGGCCTTAAACAAGCCTCAAGACAATGGTTTCAAAAGTTAACTTCATGTCTTCTCACATATGGTTTTAAACAGTTCATGGCAGATTGTTCATTGTTTACCCTCTCTACTGATTCATCTTTTATTGCTCTTCTTGTGTATGTTGATGATGTTATAGTTTGTGGTGATAATATGACTGCTATCACTGATATCAAAAATCATTTACACTCTTGTTTCACCATAAAGGACCTTGGTCAGTTAAAATACATCTTGGGTCTGGAATTTGCTCACTCTGAAACAGGTATTAACATGTGTCAACGAAAATATGCTCTTGATATATTAACTGACACAGGATTTCTAGGGTGCAAACCTGCCTGCGCTCCTGTGGACCCAACTACAAAATTACAATCTTGTTCTGACTCTGATACATTAACTGATCCAACTGAGTATAGGAAATTGATTGGTAGACTCTTATATTTGACTATCTCAAGACCTGATATTGCTTTTAGTGTTCAATGCTTAAGTCAGTTTTTGAGTAAGCCTACTACCACTCATCTTTCTGCTGTCACAGAGTACTCAGGTATATAAAAGGTACTGCAGGTCAAGGTATTATCTTTCCTAGAAACTCTTCTTTAAACCTTGTTGCATATTCTGATAGTGACTGGGCTGGTTGTTTAGATACAAGAAGAAGCATTACTGGT